TAACAGTAGTATTTTCACATGGACGCCCATCTGCGTTAATCCACCGCAGGTTTATTAGGATAAAGAGACAGCGATTGAAAATAACTTTTATTTGAACGGTGGGGGGAGGGGTGTTGCCGTTTGCTTTTGCTGGAAATGATCTCATTCATTTAGAGCAAGAGTTACTGCTAAAGTGTAGGGCGCTCTCACTCGAGGAGTCTGTGTCTTTGCCTTTTGCGCTATATTCTGTGTGTACCATGGGCATACTGGAAATCCACAATAGTCCAACGTGCTTGGTGCGCGCCACAGGTCCGTGTGCAGATTAGCGAGGGGCTTCTCGGACGTTTTGCCAATGCACTTGCGGCGCGACTGTGCGCTTTTTTTGGGGGGGTGGTGGTAAGGAAAGTACAAAATGGAGGCGGCTCGCACTCGGCAGGGTGTGGTATCAGGAGGCAGAGGATGCGGAAGAGTGCAAAGTCGTGTTTGACAAAACAGCAGAAGAACAACGTGGTGAAGGCGGAGCTTGGAACGAACGCGACGCATGATATTTAAAGGGGCGGATCTAACGTTGGAGTCTAGCCATGGTCAGTTACAGGTCGACTTGTGAAATAAAGTGCAAATTTCACTCGAAACCGTATGACCTGTGAGTCAGTGACAGTGATCGTAATTTATTCACGAGACAAAATGATAATGAACTCCATTATTGGCGCAAAGTATGGGGGGGGGGGTGGCGGTGGGCTGCGCTGCGCTAGATTTAAACTCCATAACTAGACGTCACACGCTTCATATTGTCTTTAACTTTTTAGGTGCTGGAGGAATTGAAGAAGCCATTAACAGAAATAAATGAAATGCTGAAAGGCGCGGGGCACGCAATTTAATGTTTGAAAATTTTTTAAAAATTGTTTTATAGATTATAATCCAAATTGCCAACTCTAGGAGGGGCGGTTAATACAATTAGAAGTTTGGACAAAAATCATATTTCACATCGCGAATATTGGAAAATCCAAATAAATGTTAGGGATTATTCAGTCTCCCTTCTGGGAAGAAAACATCAATTTCCTAATCTGGATGTGAGCCTGCACAGAATTAAATGTTTGGCAGCAGCAACTTTATACATCGACTTAACTACAGTTCTGCAAAATAACAAGTCCATTTCCCTTTTAAATCAAACCGTCCGACTGAAACTTCATTCTCAGCCCCATGATTCATACTGCCCTCTGGTTCTATTCATTCATTTGTCAATGTTGTTCCTCCGTTTATGCTGAAGGTGTTGGGTCATGCTGAGGATAGAGTTGCACAGTTAGCTGATGATGCGGCCGTCCTTAATACATTTGCTGGGCATTGGGAAATGGGTAGTTGGACTGTGCTGTTATTGTCTGTCCCTCGCAGAGAAGTTTATGCGAAGTTCAGGCAAAATGCCTTCTCCACAAATCTGACAGGGAGCGATTAGCTCGTAATGCCCCGGAGGCCCTGCAGAAAAAAAATGATCTGTTGCCAGAGTTTCTAAACAAGCACCAAAATGTAGCCTGTATGCTGGTGCAAGCTGCAATGGGAGGGGTCTCTGCCTAACGACTTTCAGCCATAGTACTCTGAGAAACTGGTAACTTTAGAAACACTCGGTCAGACAAATAAGGTGCATTATGAACATCGTTGAAATTGTGTCGAGGTACCTCAGAGTGGAATATAATGCCGGAAGAAGATTTATTTCGAATGCACTTTTTGTAATTTCCAATTTGATTTCATTCTGCCTTCTGTATGCTGAATACAGAATGTATCTTGTCAGCATTACAATTTTATTTGGATACTTGAAAAGGGAACAAACATGCTGTATTGTATCAATAAACAAGTTGAATTTTATTGCAAATTCTTTAACATTCAAGACTTTTTTTGTAATATCTGTTCACAAATTTTATGAATAAAATATTATGGGGAAGAAAAAACTCAGCAATGAGATTAATTTGGCTAAATCATTCAGAGAATCAGCACCAGCAGGATGGGCTAAATTACCATGATATTCTTTATGCTTTACTAATTCTGGCGTTTTATGCATCACTGAATTCTACCTGTCCATCATTGACAACCATACCCAAGTTCTGTAATTTCCTCCCTAAACTGCTCTATCTTGCCTCTTTTGAGACATTTGAAAACTGCTTCTTTCCCAAGCTTTTGTCATCTGATCTAATATTTCTTTATGTGGTTGAGTGTCAAATTTTGTTTGCTATTGCACCTGTGAAGCCTTGGGCATGCCTTTATAGAATTAAAATTAAATTAAAAGCGCTGTACAAATGTAAGATATTTATATACTTTCCAGCAGTAACTACAGGACAACAATCATTGACAGGGAGCCTGGCTCTTTAATCCCTCCCTATTGCTGTGATATACAATTACAGATAATTCATTTGATCCTTGATTTATTTTCAGAAATCCTCCTGCTGTATATTCCTCTGGTATCTGCTTGAAACAAAACCTACTCCATATGCATTTCAGACTCAGTCAGACGAGGTAAATGCATTGTTCTTGCATTCTTTGTTGGATTTGTTAATTACTATACTTAGTATTAATTTTGGACTACTCTCTGTAGTGGAAGCATCTCTACTTCTATTTTATTAAACACCCATCTAATTTATTCTGTTTTGTCTAATCGTTATAAGCTCTGAGTTCTGGTATAATTCTTGTAAATTATTTTTGCTTCACCTCCAGTGCCTCTGTGTCAAATATAGAGATCAGAACTGTACATATTACTCCAAATGTGGTCTAACCAATGTTCTATTGATGGTTAATACAACTTCACTCATTTTCAATTCCATTGCTCTGGAAATTACTCCAATGGTTTGGTTAGCACTTTTATATCCTTGTTAACTTCTGTTGCTATTTCTTATGATTTATGAACAAGCACACCTAGATCCCTTTACTTCTAAAAACCATTAAGACTCTCATATTCCAAGGATTATTTTGAACTCTTTATTCCTCCTAACAAAAAGACTAGTTCACAGTTAATTATTGAACTAAATTTTCTACTTGCATGCTAATTCTGAAAATAGGAGGTGGGTTAGCTCAGTTGGCTGGATGGCTGGTTGTAATGCAGAGTGACAACCAACAGCATGTGTTCAATTTCTGTACTGGCTGAGGTTACCACAAAGGACACTCCTTCTCAATAACTCCCCTTGCCTGAGGTGTGGTGATCCTCAGGTTAAACCATCACCAGTTGATGTCTCGCTAATGAGGAAGGAACTGTATGGTCTGGTAAGACTGTAGTGACTTTACCTTTACTTTTTAAATCTGACAGTTCACCAAAGACTTTGTGTAATTTTCCACAGTCTTTCTAGGATATTATAACTACGATTCGACCATCCATGAATTTTAAAGTTGTTCTGATTCCCAAGTCCAAGTGTTTTGTGTAAATACTGTTCAGAAGTGGTGCCAGCATCAAACCTTGTGTGGAACACCAATTCCCAGCTCCTGCCAGTCTGAGTAACTTTGCTTTTGGAAGCATTTTTAAAACAAGATGTTTTCGGCCCATCTTCAGTCATAAATCTTTCAAGTAATTGATCATGTTCTAGTCTCATGATTACGGATTATAGTGCACAGATTGCAACAGATTATTCATGTAAAATAAACTTTAAAAGAAGCTCTATACTGCATTTTAGAGGAGTTTTTTTTTTACACCTTTTAGTTTGTTGAGTGGTGGGTTGTCACTAGCTAGGCCAGCATTTATCATCCAATGCCAAATCTACCCAAACTAATGCAAGCTAATCCCTTAGTTGTTTCATCACGACATTTTCCCCAATACAATGCCAAAATTAGATGTCAAAATTGCCTAAAAAGTTTTGTTTCCAAACAAATAGAAGCCTGTTTCTTTCAAATACTGCTGTACAATTAATAGATTGGTAAAATATATATTACAAACGAACGACTGCCAATTGGGGCAGTAGTTCACAAACTTTCCTAACCATGGACCAATTAGCAAGGCAAAAGACATCAGGGACTACCTACCAGTCCCACTGTACCTGCTTTCACTTGCCACTCTCAATCTCTATAATTCTACATACAGCATATCCATTAACATTGCCAATGTCAACCCTTGTACCCGATCAGCAAAAAATTCTACTCCCCATACATGTTGAAGGAGAGACTGAACTATATTAAGCATTGCCCATATCTTGGTAGCCACCTCTCTCACTGACAAGGAGATTCTTCATTGCATCAGTTGTGCTAGTTCAGCCTTCTACATACAATGGCCCTGAATGTTTGACAGACAAGACCTCCACATCAACAGAAATCCTAGTGTCCAGATAGTTGTCATCATCACACTTGTGTACTGCACTAAAATCTGGACTGTGTATCGGCAGAGTGTACTGAGTCCTGGAGAATTCCAGTAGTGATGCCTCTACCACATCCTCTAACTTAATTGAAGGATCATCAAACAAGTGTCAATGTCCTTCTTGAAACCAGATACACGGGATTTAGTCATAACTTTGGAAAAATTAATTTTGATGAACTGGCCACTGTATCCAAATTGCCAAAAAACCATTTCCCCCAACAGGTCCTGTCTTCTCAATTCGCAGATGATGAACATTTCAGGGGAGTATAAAGAAAATGTTTCTAACACACTCTGAAGCACTGAGGTTGTAGGCTTGCTTGCTGAGCTGGTGATAGAATCAAACATACTGGCTTAGCGAACAAGTCTACAACCTCATCCACAACCCAAGCTACAAATCTTCTCAAAAACTTTAAACTGTAAAGCACTCTTGAAGGATGGTAACTTTGAGCTTAATGACTGGGAGGAACTTGCTACCAATCATTCAAAATTGAATATTGATAACTTATCCATCAAACTGTATCATGCTATGTCCCCGTGTCTTGATGATGAGTCAGAATGATGGAGAGGAGAAAGAAAAGAAAGTAAATCTGGCAGTCTTGAAACCTTCTATCTCACGGGGCATCCTGTCACTTGCCTAAAATTCTCTGGGTGAAGAATTGCCCCATTCTGTCACATGGTATCCTGGGCAGAAACTCATTTATGTGAAGCATACACACCACATGGGCCCATTGGATTGAATGACCTGGTTCATTGCTACAAATATTATGGAAAAGTTCCTCTTTGTGAGCAATGTCTTGGATGATCTAAAATCTACTTGTGTTTGTTTTCAAACACCATTGCATCCAAAAATAATTGTGGAACTGCCATTGGATTTACGATAATTGTGTATGACTTTTATATTTATTTCAGATTGTTTGAAATATTACATAAAATATATTGATTTTCAACATTTACATGTTAACAAAATTAGTTATTTCAAGAAGACATATTTGTTGACATTGTCAAATGGAACGGTAAAATATGAGAATTGGGATTTCAAACAAACTTCAACAGAGCTGTCACAAGTTATTCCCCATCAGTCAAAACAATCTTTTGGAATAAATTAGACAAAGTCCATTGTAATACCATGACAAGCATTGACTGATAATTGTTACAGAGATAGTAGGAACTGCCGATGCTGGAGAATCTGACATAACAAGGAGCTGGATGAACACAGCAGGCCAAGCAGCACCAGAGGAGCAGGAAAGCTGACGTTTCGGGTCCAGACCCTTCTTCAGAAATGGAGGAGGCGAAGGGGATTCTGAAATAAATAGGGAGAGAGGGGGAGGCGGATAGAAGATGGATAAATGTGGATAAATGAGAAGATAGGTGGAGAGGAGACAGACAGGTCAAAGAGTCAGGGTTGGAGCCAGTAAAGGTGAGTGTAGATGGGGAGTTAGGGAGGGGATAGGTCAGTCCAGGGAGGATGGACAGATCAAGGGGGCGGGATGAGGCTAGTAGGTAGGAGATGGGGGTGGGGCTTGAGGTGGGAGGACAGGATAGGTGGGAGGAAGGACAGGTTAGGGAGGCAGGGACAGGCTGGGCTGGTTTTGGGATGCGGTCGGGGGAGGGGAGATTTTGAAGCTTGTGAAGTCCACAATTGATACCATTGGGCTGCAGGGTTCCCAAGCGAAATATGAGATGCTGTTCCTGCAAAGTTCGGGTGGCATCGTTGTGGCACTGCAGGAGGCCCAGAATGGACATGTCATCCAAGGAGTGGGAGGGGGAGTTGAAATGGTTCACGACTGGGAGGGGCAGTTGTTTCTTGCGAACCGAGCGTAGGTGTTCCACAAATTGGTCCCCAAGCCTCCTCTTGGTTTCCCCAATGTAGAAGAAGCCACAACGGGAACAGCGGATACAGTATACGCCATTAGCAGATGTGCAGGTGAACATCTGTTTGATGTGGAAGGTCTTCTTAGGGCCTGGGATGGGGATGAGAAGGGAGGTGTAGGGGCAGGCTTAGGGACCGCTTTGTGGAACACCTACGGTTCGCAAGAAACAACTGCACCTCCCAGTCGCGAACCATTTCAACTCCCCCTCCCACTCCTTGGACGACATGTCTATTCTGGGCCTCCTGCCGTGCCACAACAATGCCACCCGAAGTTTGCAGGAACAGCATCTCATATTTCGCTTGGGAACCCTGCAGCCCAATGGTATCAATGTGGACTTCACAAGCTTCAAAATCTCCCCTCCCCCGACCACATCCCAAAACCAGTCCAGCTCGTCCCTGCCTCCCTAACCTGCCCTCCCACCTATCCACTCCTCCCACCTCAAGCCCCACCCCGATCTCCTACCTACTAGCCTCATCCTGCCTCCTTGACTTATCCCCTCCCTTACTCCCCACCTACACTCACCTTTACTGGCTCCATCCCCGCCTCTTTGACCTGTCTGTCTCCTCTCCACCTATCTTCTTCTTTATCCATCTTCTATCCGTCTCCCACTCTCTCCCTATTTATTTCAGAATCCCCTTCCCCTCCCCCATTTCTGAAGAAGGGTCTAGACTCGAAACATCAGCTTTCCTGCTCCTCTGATGCTGCTTGACTGATAATTACTGTCTTAAACCTTGGTTACAGAATGTTGCCTTGAGCCATACCGCATTTACACTTCAGTTTAAAATACACACATCTCATTGCCATGGAGTCTATTCATTTGAAAATTCTTCTCAATCCATGAGACTACAGAATGTATGGAAGATTGGGTGGATACAGAAACTGATCTACGCTGCAGTTCCATTTGATATGGGATTAAAAGGAATTTATAAATGTCCATGAAGCTGTGCTCTAATGATTGTGTCTACAAACATTCATCTAATTTCTTAGCTGAAGGAAGCTTGTACAAAACTAACAAGATGATACATAAAATACAGAAATGCAGCTTTCTGTCCATTGTGAACCCTTTGCAACTTTAAAGTATGATGATACATCCTTAGCATCAATTACACATTAGGTTGATTTGGAACATATCTTCTGGCAACTTTCACGCATAATCACCAATTATCTCAGAAAACAAACACATGTGTGTCTGTTATTGCACAGTGCACTGGCCCATTTTATCTCAATAATTCTCAATCTAACATCAAGAATAAAAAGAAAAAGACACAGGTGATCGCATAGTACATGTAAAACCTCAGGTGCTGAGGCCC